ACGCAGCAACAAAGCCGTCTACGGCCAGGCCCCCCAGTCGGGCGACGGCACACCAGCCGCGCTCGAAGACGTGGAGATGATGACGGAGGAGGACTACGCTGAGGCGGGCTACGTCCACTGCATGGGCGCATATTGGGTCCCGCCGCGCCGCCTGGGCTGGTGTCGGAGCTGCACGGCGCTGGGCGACTGGAAGATCATGGCGGTGGAGTACGTGGACGAGCTCAACTGTGCGGAGATGCGCCGCTATGCGGAGGCCAAGGAGGACAACGAGAAATACCCCGAACTGAGGAGGGGCAAAGAGGGGCAGTACAAGCTGTACATGTGCTCGAACTGCGTGGCGACGACGGAGGGCATCTCCGAGCGCGAGGCCGTGACGCGCGCTGCGCGCGCGAACAAGGGCCCAGGCTCCATCGACCGTGCCGCCGAGCGGGTGGCGAAGTTCCGTGCGAGCTTCGACTACATCAAGGAGGGCATGGACGTCCTGGTGGGGTTCGCGCTCTCAGAGGAAGGCTTGCTTGCCCTGCGGAGGTCAACGGAAGGCGTGGGGGTGGGCATCGACCCCGAGAGTACAGGCGCCCCCCCAGCCACGGAATAAGTGGCGAGGGAGGTGGGCCGCCCAATGGCGAGGTAGGCGGGGGTGGTGCCAGGGCCGCCCCGTGCGCCACCCCCGCCCCTCGAGGAAGATCCCCCCAGTGATGAGGAGAACGACCCTCAGTCCGACGTGGGCGCGGAGGACCAGGGGCTTCAGCTGACCGAGGCCCAGACCGTGAAGGAGGTAACGGACATCGAGCCCTTGCTGCGGCTCGGCCTATCCAAGAAGTCGCTGAAGCCCATGGCGCGGGCCTGTGGCGTCCTCAAATTCGAGACCATGCGCGCCCACATGCTGGGCGGCCTGGGGGCCATCCTGGAGAAGAAGGAGGACATGGTGAGGGGCGCCGAGGCGCAGGGCGGAGCCCAGAAGTGGCTCGACGCGCTGGACGAGGAGGCGGAGGTGGATGTGGGGAGGCTGAAGAGGGGTGTTCTGGAAGCCTCGGGGATCGCAGATGCCCACCTGGGACACAAACGTGCCTGGAAGGAGGAGTGCCAGGGTAACACCGCGGCGCAGGAGGCCTACCGCCGCATGGGCGACTACACGGACCAGTTCTACCGTGACAAGGGCTTCACGTTCAACATGTACTACAAGTGCGCGGCCAACAAGACCTGGGATAATCCCAGGGGGTGCTGTTCGGTGATCCGCTCGGATTGCTGGTCACATCTGCTCTCATGCGCCCAGGAGGCAGCGGGGGAGACGGGCCAGCGCTGGTACTGCCACTGCGGGGCGCGCTACTCGACCTCCTACGGAGTCTGCGTCGAGTTCATAGAGGAGGAGGCGAAACCGTCACGCGCGTACTACACGCGCGCGGAGCATCCCGGTGAGGACATCCGCGACCTGAAGGCCCTGTTGCGCTACGACAAGCTCAAGAAGGAGGGGGTCACAGTGCTCAACGCGGTGGACCTTCTGAAACACCTGCCCAAGGTTGAGCCGATGGCGGTTGGCACCGTCTTCAAGCGCTATGCCCCACACCAGGCACAATGGGAGGGCCACTACGTGCTGATGGAGGGGCTCACCTGGGAGAGCTTGCCCACGTTCGAGTGGGCCAACCTCTACGCGCAGGTCGCTTGGGGACTGAACGACCCTGAATGGGCGGGCTACAGCAAGAAGGCGCGGGACAAAGCCAAGAGGGAGCGCCTGGAGGTGGCGCGCAGGGAATTGGCGCACTACGAGCGCCGCCACAACCTGAAGGAGGACAGCCTCTCGGGCGGCGGGGATGGTGCAGGGGTCGCCCCGCGCGCCACCCCTGTTCGCAACGCCGGCGCCCCGCCGGCGAGCGGGGCCCGCGGCAGCGAGGGCCCGCCACCACCGCCAGCGGGAGTCCCGCCAGAGGCCGTGGCCATCATGGCCCCCCCGCCGCCGCCGCCGACGGCGCCCCCTGATGCGCCGCCGCCGCCGACGCACCCGCCACCGCAGACGGACGCGCTCCCGCAGCAGGCCCCAAGC